GACCAGGCTGGCCTCAAACTCACAGAGATCTGCCTGCCTCTGCCTCCCAAGTGCTGGGATTAAAGGTGTGCACCACCAAAAAAAAAATGACTTTAATAAATTATGTATTAGGTTATACAGAGAGAAAACATGATTTCTTATTTTTTATTGACTGCCCTCTTTTTGGTGGAGTGCTGGAGATTGAATTTACACATTCTGGTGCACTCTTCGCTGTCTTTTTTTTCCAAGATAATATGTTATTATAAATATTGAAGGATTTTTTCAGTGTATATTTTTATTGAATTTCTGTGGATTTCGTGCAATCCATCTTAATCATATTTGGACTTCCCATCTGTATACCCCTGCCCCCAAACTTGCAATCTTTTGTTGTAGTTCTTTATGTGTTACTGGGGTGAACCCAGGGCTGCCTTCTCTTTGATACAGGAGTTAGCAGTCTTCTCTGTTTCTTATTTGGTAACCTGAGTGCAGAATGCTTCAAGACTGTGGAACAGCAATCTCCAGAACAAAACCTTCAGCTATTTGAGCTGTCCTCCTCTTGAAGAGTGATTTGATTGAATATTTGTGTGGAATGTGCCTCTATTTCCTTAATCAAATTGTTTCTCTACCACAGGATACAGCTATGAGCAAGCTATGGTTCAAACAAGATGATAAGTTTTTCTTGCCAAAAGCTTGTCTCAACTTCGAATTTTTCAGGTATGTAAGTTGAATCTAGCTATAAAACTTATAAAAACCAAAAATTACATTTCTGTTAAGTTTCCTGTTCTTGAGTATCCATGTCTAGAAATTAAAATTAGATTTCTTCTGGAAAAGAAAAGGCTTCTGAAAGGTTCTGTAAGAACCAAAATTAATTTGTCTTCCTTTGCATTAATAAATATAGCCTTTAACTGAAGTTTTCGTTAGCTCTTAAGAAGAGCTAAGAGTTTTTGTTAGCTCTTATTAGCCTTCAGGATTTGGTAATCTGGAGAAGTTATAGATTTATCCAGAAGGTTCATTAGGTAAAGAATTAATAATTTAGAATTTTTATTGGTTTGTTGTTGTTTTTTTAATTCCTGAGACTAGCTCCTGGGTGGGAGGTCAGTAAATAAAAGTGAGTGAGTGTGTGAGTGTGTGAGTGAGTGTGTGAGTGAGTGTGTGAGTGAGTGAGTGTGTGAGTGAGTATGTGAGTGTGTGAGTGAGTGTGTGAGTGAGTGTGTGAGTGTGTGAGTGAGTGTGTGAGTGTGTGAGTGTGTGAGTGAGTGAGTGTGTGAGTGAGTGTGTGAGTGAGTGTGTGTGTGAGTGAGTGTGTGAGTGAGTGAGTGTCTGTGAGTGTGTGAGTGTGTGAGTGAGTGAGTGTGTGAGTGAGTGTGTGAGTGAGTGTGTGTGTGAGTGAGTGTGTGAGTGAGTGAGTGTGTGAGTGAGTGTGAGTGTGAGTGAGTGTGTGAGTGTGTGAGTGAGTGAGTGAGTGTGAGTGAGTGTGTGAGTGAGTGAGTGAGTGAGTGCAGAAAGAGAAGAAAGGGGTTTATGAGATAGTTTTTTGGGGGTGTTTTTTTTTTTTTGGTCTTTTTTTGAGACAGAGTCTCCTTGAGGCCCCAGCTGTCCTGGAACTCGCTATGTAGACCAGGCTGGCCTTGAACTCACAGAGATCCCTGCCTCTGCCTCCCAAGTGCTGGGATTAAAGGCATGCGTGATCATGCCCAGCGTGAGATAATATTTTTAAAAACTTAAGGTCGTTCAGGTAATAACATTCACCAATATGGAGAGGTCCATTGTTGAAGCACCATGGTCTCCTAAAAAATCATAAAGTTGAACCTGAGGGAGAATTTTCCAGCCTTCAGAGGAGCAAAGCCCTAGACAACAGCTTGACTATGACCTCATTACAGAACTTGAACCACAGCTACCAAACTCTTCAGTTTCTACATTCCTGGCCCTTAGAAAGTATATGTATTTGAGCCAGGCGTGGTGGCACACACCTTTAATTCTGGCACTTGGGAGGCAGAGGCAGGCAGATCTCTGTGAGTTCCAGGCCAGCCTGGTCTCCACAGTGAATCCAGGCCCCTGGGGCTACAGGGAGACCTTATCTCAAAAAGACCCCCAAAGAAACACAGTATATGCGTTTGATTTGTTAAGTGTTTGTGGTTTTAAACTGCCAAGTTTTAGAATAATTTATGTTTTGCAATGAAAAACTAAGCCACAGGCTAGAAGTCCTTCTGCCTCAGCCTCCTAAATGCTGGGATTACAGACATGAGCAATTTTTAATATTCAAAGCAGCTTATCCTCACTTTCCCTTTTGGCTGTTATATTTATGAATTTCCTCAGAATACCTTTTGAGAAACACTTTAACATTTTTGTTTTCTCTGATCTGCTCAGCATAGTTACTAAAATTAAAAATGTCTGCTTCCCACAGTCTGGTCTTCCTAGAGATAATCACTCTTGGGTTTATCATACATTTAATAGAAATGTTCACTACCGACTGTGTGGTGGGGAGGCCAGCCTTGGAGAACTGAGTGTGTGGCAAAAAGAAAAAGAAATGTAGCCAGGCTGGTAGCGCACATCTTTAATCCCAGCACTTGGGAGGCAGAGGCAGATAGATATCTGTGAGTTCAAGGCGAGCCTGGTCTACATAGTTCCAGACCAGCTGGGGCTACAGGGAGATCCTGTTTCAAAAAGACCAATAAAAAAGAAAAAGAAATGTTTATGTGGGGGCTGAAGAGATTGCTCAGTGGTTAAGAGCACTGGCTGCTCTTGCAGAGGTCTTGGGTTCAGTTCCCAGCACCCACATGGCAGCTAACAATTGCCCTTAACTCCAGTTCTAGGGAATCCGACACCCTTCTGGCCTCTGCAGGCATTGCACGACACAGGTGCACTTAGATTCACATGCAGGCACAATGCTCAAACACATAAAATAAATTTTTTTTTAAGAAATCTTTACTTGTGTGTGTCCTTTCCATCTTTTCAGAAATAAGATTAAATTATATATACTTGGTAATAGTTTTTTAGGTCCTTTGATACATATTTAGGCATGTAGTATCTGATTACAAAATAATGTATTTGAACCAGAATGAACCAGAGTTTATGTATTCCATTGGAATCATGTTGTCTATTAAAAGTTAAGTTTAGGCCTACTCATTGCCCAAGCACACACAGCTGCTGTGGACCCAGCATTTTAGTACACTTGTAATTTTTTCTTTTGTTTTGTTTTGAGACAGGGTCTCCCTGTAGCCCCAGCTGGCTTGGAACTCATTATGTAGACTAGGCTGGACTGGAATTCACAGAGGTACATGTGCCTCTGCCTCCCAAGTGCTGGGATTAAAGGTGGGCACTACCACACCCAGCCATTTGTAATTATTAAGCTTGGGTCATATGCCTTTGATCTCCCAGTTTTGGCTCTTCTGACTTTTCAGCCTCACCTGACGGCATGGAGCTGAGCTTTGTCATAGGTTTTGAGTGTGTGTGTGTGTGTGTGTGTGTGTGTGTGTGTGCTTGTCATGCCTTAAGCTTTGAGCTGCTCTTTGTTTAAAGAAGAAAATCTGTCATCATATATAATACTTAGAGAATTAAATGGAGACCATTGAGATAGGTAAGTAGGTAAAGGCACTTGCTGCCAAGTCTAGCATCCCAAGTTTGATTGCTGCATAGGAGAGAACCGATTCCCGCAAGTCATCCTCTGACTTCCATATGTGTGCACATGTGCACCTTCACACACATACACACACACATTAATTAATTAATAATTAAATAATTAAATAATAAATGTAATTTTTTTCAAAGAGAGAGAATTAGATGGCAAGGCATCCATTTAGATTTTCTAGTCTGAGAATATTTGGGCAATAGTAGAATTTTTCCTTGCTTTAATTTTCCAAGTGCTTAGGCATTTTCCTGTAGTTATGCTTTAGTATTAGCTTCAATAAATTGTTGGTGTTAATATTAGTACATTGTGGTATAATGTAATATATTCACTGCTCCAAATAGAGTGAAACTTGTCATTTGCTGCCAAGTAAGCCAGAAGGTACATTCCTTGGTTCTGGAGCAGTAGCTGTTAACCGTAGCCTGGAAAGTTGTCTCCACCTGCCAGACCTCCCCAGGGCTTGCTTCCCTACTACCTTTGGAGACCTAGGCCCACCTGGCCCATTGTCAGAGTCATGGCCTGATTAACAGTCTTATTGAAACAAGTCCTTTTCCTTCCCTGCTTCTCCCATCCCGCTTTTCCATATTCCCCTCCTTCACTTTCTTCACAACACTATTGCCACCTGGTATATCAGATTTAAGCTTATTTGTTTCTTCCACCCAAACTATAAGCCCTGAGCAATCAGGTATTTTGCCTAATTTATTCCTGCTTTGTTCTCACTGCCTAGAGAAGAACACTGTGGTAAGCATGTAATCATATATATTTGCTGAATGCATGAGTGTTTTTACTTGCTTCTGATAAAGGTAAGCTGTATTGTATAGTCAAATAAGTATATTGTTTAACTTGGATTTGAATCTCAGTTCTGTCATTGCCATCCCAGGTGACCTGAAGAAAATTGTTTCCCATCTGGAAAATGGAAGATTTGTTGGTCTCTGGTTCTATCTATAATTGTTTTTCTTTTCTTACCTAAATATGTCCTATTGTAATATTTTCCCCAGTTCCATCTGGGGTTATATGATAGAATTTATTGACTTACTGATAGTGCTCTGGCTTTATTGATTTGGGAGAAAGCTAAAGGGTAGGCTAATATTTTCACAGTTTTTCTTAGTCTTCCTCTTTTAAATTCATGCAGCTATAGCACTGAGAATTTTCCAGTCTTATATTTCTGTCCTTCGAGGATGTGGCTTACTGAGAGAGAAGACATGCAAATGCTGTACCAGCTCTATCAGGCCTGCCTTCCAGCAGCCTAAAGAAGGCATGCATTTTAACCTGATCATACTCTTACCTGCCTTGCCTTTCTAACTTGTCAGTTCTGCTTTGCCACCCAGAATAATTATTCTCTCTCTTCACTGCCACCAGTGCACACACACACACACACAGCGTGTTTGACTTCTTTTGTAGGCATTTTTCCCTCATGAGAAAAACAGATTCAAGAATTCAACCTTGCTCTCAGGAAATTATATTAACTAATATTCATTTTCTTCAACCATCTCAAAAGGCCACATCACATTCGGAATAAATCAGCTATTTTACTGTCAACATTTTCTTCCAGCCCATTTGCTTATGTGGACCCCTTGCACTGTAACATGGCCTATTTGTACCTTGAGCTCCTCAAAGACTCACTCAACGAGTATGCATATGCAGCAGAGCTAGCAGGCTTGAACTATGACCTACAAAATACCATCTATGGGATGTATGTAAGTACCCATGTCTTAGAGCCTTCCATTCATCAACATTTTTTATATTGATTTGATGGAAGCATTTCTAATTGTGGGTATGAGTTTTAATTTCTTTTTTAAAAATCCTTATGGCTTATCATTTTCTCTTAATTTTGAAGGTCGCTTTTATTCTAACCATTCAGCTATGTATCATTCATATTATTCAGATTTTCCTTGGTTTTTTTTTTTTTTTTTTTTTTTTTAACATCGTCATCAGAGTGTTATTTTTCTCCTCAAACAAAATTGTGCCCTAGTCTCGGATTAGCTTTCACCCATTCTGTTTCTGAAATCTTGATCTTCAGAAAAGTAGAGTGGAGTCATGTCTTTGTAAAACATGAGTTGGTCTGTGCTGCTTCCCCAGATGTCCAGATCACGAGGCTGCATATCCATACTCTTCGGTCATGTTTCTTCATTATCATGCCACCACTCGAGGAATCAAAGCATCTCTTTTGTTTTTCTTTTCATTAGTCGCTACATTTATGCTGATCCTCTCCATTGCAACATGACATACCTGTTTATCAGGTTATTGAAGGATGATTTAAAAGAGTATACATATGCAGCACGCCTGTCAGGTTTGAGCTATACCATTGCATCAGGAATGAATGCAATTCTTGTAAGTAAATGGAAATCTAAGAAAAGGCACCACACTGTCTAAGCTTTTATTGAGCTTGGGAAAGCGATTAACTTCTGCATTTTTAAACAAGAACATTGGTGGTTTTCTTCTTTGCACCTTTTTAGTGATTGAAGAATTCAAATTAGTGCTAGTTCCACTAATAAATAATTTGGGAAACTTAGTGCATCTTGTGAACATGTATGTGTGCTATATGTATGTGCATGTTCCATTTGAGATGTTTAACATACTAATCCTAAAAGCATGTTTTTCTTGCCATATTTGAGAATATTTCCATTTGTAAGTAAAACATTGTTACTGTGGTGCTTGAATTTTACTCATGTATAAGCTTCCTTTATTTTTATGGACAGTAGTAAAAATTCTTGTGTTCAAATATACCTGACAGTTTTTTTTTGTGGTATCTATTATTAACTATTTTACATGTGTTATATCTAGATCCTCAAAAGCCTTCCTGATGTTTCCAACCCTTGATTGTGTCTCAGTTTCTATTTAACTCCATTTATTGCACACATCCATTTTCACTTTTTTTGAAAATACATGTTTTAGTAAAAACAAAATGAGAGCATTTCTCAAAACTCTTAAACTAAAGATCTTATGGTTTTTAATTTTCATTTATTTTGCAGTAGTTTTTTTTTTTTTCTTTTTCCAAAATTAATTTTCTGGTGGCTTTTGTTTAATGTATAATAATGCATGTATTCTCACCATTCTCAGAGTCCACAGTTTTGAGGTTGAGATCAAATTATAAGCATAAGGGTAATAATCTATTTTCTATTGACTTTTAGCTCTATATTACTTATTTATAACACAGTGGACTTTCTGCTACTTATTATACTTCATGTGGTACATGACATGCTTTCTGTGGCTGAAGACCTTTGCTCTAGCTGAGGTTCTTGCCTGTCATTCTTTAGAGGATAGCTCTATTACAGTGTATCCAGTATTGCTCTGGGTGCTGCTGTATAGAAATATAACAGTAGCCATTCCCCTTCCTTTTAAAATGTTATGCTTTTAGAGACTGTCTTAGTTAAGTCAATTGCTGTGACAAAAACACTAACCAAAACCAACTTGGGGAGGAAAGGGTTTATTTTATCTTACATCTCCCAGGTCACAGTTCATCACTGATGGAAATCAGGGTAGGAACTCAGAGCTAGAACCTAGGGCCAGGAGCTGAAGCACAATGAAGGAACGCTGCTTACTGGCTTACTCCTCCGGCCCGTGCTCAGCCTGCTTTCTTATATGGCACAAGACCACCTGCCCAGGGGTGGCACTGCCACAGTGGGCTGGGCCCTCCCGCATCACTCAGCGGGATCAAGAAAATACCCCACAGACATGGCCATAGGCAGTCCAATAGAGACAGTTCCTCAACTGAGAGTCCCTCTACCCAGGTATGTCAAGTTGACAACTAAAGCTATCTAGCAGAGACTATTAAAGTAAATTATCCTAAGGCAAAATCCTCATGGTATATACAGTATATTTTCCCTACACATTTGTTTGCTGTTGGCATTTAGGACATTGGCAGACCTTGTAAAGTAAAACAAGCAGGTAGTTAGGATTTGTAGGCCTTTATTGGACAGCATTAAATGAGCAATACCAGCCAGAAATAAAAAATTGGAGTTGCCTCAGTTTTCCAAAGATGACTTTTTTTTTTTTTTTCTCAGAAGGCAGGAAGTTGAGACAGGGTCTTATTATATGTCCCTGACTAGCCTGGAACTTGCTACATAGACCACACTGGCCTCAGACTTATAGCAATATTCCTGCTTCTGCCTCCCAATTGTATGTTTATGCTGCCACATCCAACCAAAGGTGATTAGTTAAATATGTAGATACAGTTTTGGAATGTGTCCATGAGCTAGATAACAATCCCCTGTGATTTTTTTTCTTTTAATTTTCTTTCTGTATTCAAAAAAATGTTAACTCTACTGTTCATTAGAAATTAAGATAAAACCTAGGAGCTTTAGCTGTTGCTCAGTGATGGCACATGTACTCTTAGCATGGGTGAAGCCCTGGGGTTCTCAGCACCAAAAGGGAAAAGAGAAGATATAAGAGACATTCTGTTATTAAATTGGATGAAATGAGAACATGAATTTTTTTTGGTCTTTTTGAGACAGGGTCTCCCTGTAGCCCCAGCTGGCCTGGAACTCACTATGTATACAGGCTGGCCTTGAACTCACAGAGATCCACTTCCCTCTGCCTCCTGAGTGCTGGGATTAAAGGCACGCACCACCATGCTCCAAGAGAACATGAATTTTATAATGTAGTATTTGTCACTATAGTTTGGCATCTATTGATTTTTTTTTTACCTACTATTCACTTTATTTGGGAAAAGGTATTACTTAATATAAAGTATTATTAATATACTATGAAATTATCTTCCTTATCTTTAAACTGTTTGTGAGAAGTTTATTGATTTTCTTGTTTTATTTTCCACTTATTAATATGTAGCCTTGAGATTTTGAAAGTATTTTTTAAATCAAGCTTAAGATGAAAGTTATTGAATATTTTTTTAGATTTTTAATACCTTCAACTCTTTTTGTAGCTCTCAGTGAAAGGTTATAATGACAAACAGCCAATTTTGCTAAAGAAGATTACTGAAAAAATGGCTACCTTTGAGATTGACAAAAAAAGATTTGAAATTATCAAAGAGGCGGTAAGTCCTATAACTTGTGTTTATAATGATTTCATTAATAAAGTAATATTGCCATATTATAAACATTGTCAGTAATGGGGAGAGGCTCCAAACAAGCAGTCATTTCACCTTGTCTTTACTAAATTCGAAAGTCTCAGGAAGATGAGCATAATGCACACCTGACTCTGTGGGCTTCAGCAGTTATAGTACTAATTCTGAGGGAAGCTCCTAGTGGCAGTCACAGACTTTTTATTTCAGGAACCTTCATTTCAGGAAATGCATGTTTGAGCAGACTGAAGGCTGGCCTACCATAAGTGCTTTCTCACATTGTGGCAAACCATTTAGGTTTGATGTATGTATCTTCCACTGAAATCCATGTCATGTTTGGCCAGTAATGGAAATATGGCATAGATAGTTGCTTTGAAAGATAAGCAGTGACCTTCATTTATATTCCATAAGAAACTACTAGTTTTCAATTGAAGATCCAAAGATATCTATCTATGTTACTTGTTTATGGAGACATTGGAGATGTGCAGTATCTGAGGGTCCACTGAAAACTGGGGATGACCTTATGAGGTATGAAAGCTGTTCCATAGTAAAGGCATTTAGAATATATATTAGATGCCAGGGGGGTAAAGATGCAGCCTGAACAATGAAAATGCATACCCTTTAATAAGAATCAGAGGAGAGTAGTCACTGTTCTTAATTCCATAGCTTTAAGAAGAGAAAGAAGTAAATATTCTTATGTTCTGATTACACAGTTTATATAAAACAAAGTTAAATTACAGCTGCTCTTATAAAATGATTTTTGAAAATTAATGAACCAATGTCTCTCTTCACTAGTATATGCGATCTCTTAATAATTTCCGGGCTGAACAGCCTCACCAGCATGCTATGTACTACCTCCGCTTGCTAATGACTGAAGTGGCCTGGACTAAAGATGAGTTAAAAGAAGCCCTAGATGGTGAGACTCTACCTAATTTTCTACCCCTGATTTTAAGTCATTGCTCTAAGAGCTAGATCAACGAGAACTCCAGAATTTAATGTGTTCCAACAACATTTCCTACTGCCTGCACATCTGGCCTGTGTTCCTGGTGTATAAGATTAAAACGTGATCAGCTAGAGAGATGTATTTAAGGAGCTCCAATGTAGGTGGGAAGAAGAAGTATGAATAGCTTATTTCAGTAGGGATGGGGTTAGGTAAGTATTGTGATAGGGTTAGCGGGTCTCCAAAGGAATCTAGAGGGGCAGAATATGCCAGGACAGGGATCACATTCTAGCTCTGCATTTTACTTGCAGCTTGGTGACTTTGGATAAGAAACAACTTCAGTTGTTTTTTACCTTTAAAATTACAATAACTGTACACCTTGAAAGGGAAAAAGGTGTATATTAGTATTAGTTTCTTAGGTTTGACCCTATATTATGGTTATTAAATGATATTAACATTAAGTAAAACTGGATGAAGGGTATAAAGGGATTCTAGCATTTTTTTTCAAGTTTTAATATAAACTTCAAATTATCTCAGATACAAAGTGTCTTTTTTTTTTTAATGTATATGCAGAGCTCACTGTTGTCACTCCTTTACAGATGTTACCCTCCCCCGTCTTAAGGCCTTCATACCTCAGCTACTGTCACGACTGCACATTGAAGCCCTTCTCCATGGAAATATAACTAAGCAGGTGAGAGGTGAAGGTCTTAACAGTCTTTTGGGTCACTGTAAAGATTCTTTTTGCCCTCCTTTCTGCCTCAAGACTTAACCCACACAAGGATAAGCACATTAATTCAACCTCTTCTCTCTAGAGGAAGGTAGGAGCAACACATGAGAGGTAGAATGATGGTAGCTGATTCAGGCGCAGTACTCACAGCTGCCTCCTCTTCTGTCGCCTACTCTGCAATCATAGAAGGAAATGGGAGTAATTATCCCCATGCTCTATAGGATCATGTAGTGCAGAATCAAGCAACCTGCATTCAAGTCCTCACACTGCCACATACTGGATATGTAATCTTACAAAAATGTCTTAACTCTGCTCTGTAAACTAGAATAACAGCAGTATCTACACCCTGGGTTATAAGGATTAAATAGTACATGCCGAGTTCTTAGCACATGGGAAACACAACAAAATTTCCACCAACATTTGTCTCAAGAGCCCTTACTCTACCACTGCTATACCACCTCCAAAACAATATGCCCAAGGTCAGATGATAATAAGTGGCAGAGACAGATGCTCACCCATGTTAGTTTAACTCACAATAAATGCTTATGCTTACCTCTTTTGCTTGGCTTTGAGCCCATGTTTCTGTGGTCAAGATCACTCACTCACTTGAGACTAAGTTTTTTATTACTGATAATGCTCCATCTTTAGCAGTGCCATTTTTTACAGCATTGGCACCATGTGGATTGTGGGTGGTGGTTTGGATTTCTGTTTTTCATTATTATTTCCATATTGATTGAGAAACTCAACTTTTATCCTGAATAGGATTAAATGAATTTAAGATTTTTTGTGTGTTTTTGTCTTTTTTTTTTTTTTTTTTTTTTTTTTTTTTTTCTTTTTTTTCCAGTCTTTGAGACAGGGTCTCCTTGTAGCCCCAGCTGTCCTGGAACTCACTAGGTAGGCCAGGCTGGCCTTGAACTCACAGAGATCCGCCTGCCTCTGCCTCCCAAGTGCTGGGGCTACAGGCATGCGCCACCACACCCAGCCAAATTTAAGATTTTTAAATCTTATGTTTATGATCAGCTTAGCTATTTTATAAGCATATTTTTGTATTATAATAGACTATCCAATGTGCTGTTTTATTTTCACAGACAAGACATGTTCATGTTTTCCTATAGTATGCTATGATGTATCTTTTCCTCCAGGCCGCATTAGGAATTATGCAGATGGTTGAAGACACCCTTATTGAACATGCGCACACCAAACCTCTCCTTCCAAGTCAGCTGGTTCGGTACAGAGAAGTTCAGCTCCCTGACAGTAAGTCAAAAACTTTAGTTTGTTTTTTTGTTTGTTTTGTTTTGTTTGAGACAGGATGCCACTATACTCAGGGATTGTTACAACCTTAAAAATGGTGATTACAAGTAAGTTGAATTCACTTGGAAAATAATATATGGTTTCATGTCAGAGATTCACTGGTAGCCTCTGTTATTTATAGAAATATGATTACAGATAGATAATCTTGTTAGAAAATTCTCTGATTGGAGAGCCAATTGTGTGTAATTGGACATAGGTGATCATTTTGAAGAGAATGATATTAGAATTGACCAGTACTTCAATGTAGGGGAGTTAGAGAATAAAAATATCACACAGCTAAAGAGATACTGACTGTGAGGGCTGGTCTTACCTGCTGAGCAGGTAAGACCACATTCTGTTCTTGCTTAATGCCCAGCACCTACATTGGGTGGCTCATAACCACCTATAACTCCAGTTCTAGGGGATCCAACACCCTCTGGCTTCCACAGGCACCTGCAGTCATGTACCCACACACAGATACACACACATACATACAAATGAAAATAAATACTTTTTTAAAAAAAAGATATTGATGAGCCGGGTGTGGTGGCGCACGTCTGTAGTCCCAGCACTTGGGAGGCAGAGGCAGGTGGATCTCTGTGAGTTCAAGGCCAGCCTGGTCTACATAGTGAGTTCCAGGGCAGCTGGGGCTACAGGGAGACCCGGCTTCAAAAAAAAAAAAAAAAAAAAAAAGATATTGATGGTGAAGCACAAAATAAATTTATTTATTAAAAAATGAAGGCTTGGGCTGGATGTGGTGGCACTTGCCTTTAATCCCAGCGCTTGGGAGGCAAAGGCAGGTGGATTTCTGAGTTAGAGGCCTTGAGTGATCTAGCAAGTTCCAGGCAAGCTAGGGTTACAGGAAGACCCTGTCTCAAAAAAACCAAAAATATTAATAATGATAAAAGAAAGAAAAATAAAGCTGGACACTGGAGCTGGACACTTGGTAGAGTTCTTGCCTAGACTGCACATAAAACTGGGCATGATAGTACATGTTTGTAATCCCAGAACTCAGGAGGTGGATCAGAAATTCAAGGTCATCCTTAGCTACATAGTAAGTTGAAGGCTAGCTTGAGATACATGAGACTGTCTCAAAAAATAAGAACTGGAGAGCTGGAGAGATGACTCCATGGTTAAGAGCGCTTACTGCTCTTACAGGGGACCTGGGTTCGATTCCCAGCACCCACATGGCAGCTAAGAACCATCCTTAACTCCAGTTCCAAGGGAATTTGACACCCTCTTCAGATCTCCATGGGCATCGCATGACGTAGGTGCACTTACATATGTGTAGACAGTACTCTCATACACATAAAATAAAAATAATAAAAAGGGGCTGGAGAGATGACTCAGCAGTTAAGAGCACTGACAGCTTTTGCAGAGAACCTGGGTTTGATTCCCATCACCACATGGCACCTACCAACCTTCCTTAACTGGGGAATTTGACATCCTTTTCTGACCACTGAGGGCATCGCATGACATGGGTGCACTTACATACATGCCAGCGCTACACTCATACACATAAAATTAGAATAATAAATAAAATAATTTTAAATTATTAAAAGTAATAAAATATAAAAAAATTAAAATTGGGGAAAAAAGAATCATAGCATTTCATTAGAAGTCCATTGGAATCTTTGTCAGAATAAAGTGTTAGAATAGTCAGGTACAGATAACATATATTCATTACATTTTTTTTTTCTTAAGATTTATTTATTTTTAGCTGGGTATTGTGGCACACGCCTTTAATCTCAGCACTTGGGAGGCAGACGCAGGTGGATCTCTGAGTTCAAGGCCAGCCTGGTCTACATAGTGAGTACCAGGCCAGCTGGGGCTACAGGGATACCCTGTCTCAAAAAGACCAAAATAAAAAGTGTATTCAGCAAAGTTATGGTATTTTAATGTCTATAAAGAGATGTACAATTTAGCACATGGTGTACACCAGTGAATGCAGGAGGTTCTGGGTTCAGTCTTCAGCACCAAAAGGAAAAAGGAGAGGGAAAGGAAAAACTGTGAATCCAGTCCAAAAGCAACATTTCAAGGTGAGATTTATCCCTCTTCCCCATTCCATTCCTTCCCTCTCTCTCTCCCTCCCTCCCTCCCCCGACCCTTTGTGACAGCATCTCCCTATAGCCCCAGCTGGCCTGGAACTCACTGTGTAGACCAGGCTGGACTTGAACTCACAGAGATCCGCCTGCCTCTGCCTCCCAAGTGCTGGGCCCTCTTTTTCTTTTCTCTCTTAGAATGCTATCTTTCTGGCCTCTTAAGCGCTCCATCAAGCTCAAAATAGCAGTTTACATCCAGCGCTCAAACTTCAGGTGTTAGAAAATTATTCTGATTTAGCCAGCTGATCAGATGTGAATGCCCTAAGAAACCCTTCACTTGATTCTACTTGAAAGGCATAAGTGTGGTGGCACAAGCCATTAATCCCAGCACTTAGGAGGTAGGGACAAGGGAAATCAGGAGTTCAAAACCAGCCTTGACTACAGAGCAAGTTCAAGGCCAATCTGGACTATGTAATCATGTCCTGAAAAAAGTCAAAAACAAAATAAAATTAAAAGGGAGGGGGACTATTTATACAAGAGTAGGCAAACATAAAGCAGGGTATGTGGTGTACACCTGTAATCCCAGCATTCAGGAGACTGAGGCAGAGGATCTCAAGGCCAGCCTCAGCAGCATAATGGAACCTTGTTTCAAAAAAGGAAAAAGGGGAGCACTGGTTGCTCTTCTAGAGGATCTGGGTTCAATTCCCAGAACCCACGTGGCAGCTAATAACCATCTGTAACTCCTGTTTCAGTTCAGGGGATCCAACTCTCTTCTGGCCTCCATAGGCATTGCATACACAGGTGGACTTACACACATGCAGGCAAAACACTCATGCACATAAAATATAAATAAGATTTTAAAGAAAAAGAGCCAGGTGTGGTGGCATACGCCTTTAATCCCAGCACTTGGGAGGTAGAGGCAGGTGGGTCTCTGTGAGTTCAAGGCCAGCCTGCTCTACATAGTGAGTTCCAGACCAGCAGGGGCTGCAGGGAGACCCCGTCTCAAAAAGATAGGCAAAATAAAATAAATAAATAAATAAATAAATAAATAAATAAATACAAACGAACTAGGAACAAAAAAGTGGGCAAACATGCCATTGACTCTATCAAACATAGATAAATGTCTGAGCCCGTTTTCTCTGTGAAACTTCCTAGGGGGATGGTTTGTCTATCAGCAGAGGAATGAAGTGCACAATAACTGTGGCATTGAGATCTACTACCAGACAGACATGCAGAGCACCTCGGAGAACATGTTCCTCGAGCTGTTCTGTCAGATCATCTCTGAGCCTTGCTTCAACACCCTTCGCACCAAGGAGCAGCTGGGTAAGAAGGAAGGGTAGCAGGGCATGGCGAATAACTTTTGTCCCTGGAAAACATTTCCCACTTGTAGAATCGAATGGCACTGCATATCAAGCATGCTGTATTCATAGAGACTTGTGAAAACCTTGTGTATAGGATGTCCACTTCTAAAAGATAAGCAATTAATATCTTGCAGAGACTAAAACAGTTTTGTTTGGGGGTGTTTTGTTTTTGTTTTTGTTTTTGTTTTTTTTCTGTTGTTTCTCTTGCATTTGCTAAGCAAGTACTCTGTCACTGAGCTATATCCCTAGGCTAGTCGGTAAAGCAGTTCTTTTTTTTTTTGGCTTTTTGAGACAGGGTCTCCCTATAGACTCAGCTGGCCTAGAGCTCACCATGTAGACCAGGCTGGCCTTGAACTCACAGAGATCTGCCTGCCTCTGTCTCTGGAGTGCTGGGATTAAAGGTGTGCACCACCACACCCAGCAGTAAAGCAATTCTTAATGACAAGATACTGGATTTATATTGCATGGCCATAAAGAAGACATCATAGGTAGGGAGGAAAGAATGCTAAGGAGACACTTATGGATAGCAAGGTGGGAAGCAAGTTTTGCAGAGGAGCTTAGTTTTGCCAGACTTTGAGTTACCTGGTAATATCTCATTCCTCTCTGTATCCTAAGGGGTAAAGAAGGTACTTACTAGGTGTTTGCAGAACTTATAGGCACTGTTAAAAAAAAGTCTTGGGGGTCTTGACAAATTTGATCAATGAGCAAAGAAGTTTACACTGAAGAGGGTAGAAGCAAGGTGACGAGGAGCTCAATGTCATCCTCTGCTACATAGCACATTCTAAGCCAGCCTGGGCTATATGAGAGCCATCTCAATAAACAATAAAGACATTTAAAGAAACCCCATAATGGCAGGAAAGAAACATTTTAAAAGGTGTGTCTCTCCAAGCACCTATTGTTTTTAAGTAACCACTGTGCTAGGTGCTGAACATGGAAAATAGAGAAGTTCTACTCTTTCCCTTTAAGGAACTCAAGTCAAGTCAAAATGGCTGACCTGTGAAGAATAATTCTAGTTGAGTGTGGTAAGGGTTCCTATAAGAGTGTTCAAACTACAAAGCTATACTGAAGATAGTGATTTCCTCAGAAGTGAAACCCAGAGGCTCCAAAGTTGATCTGTGCAAAACTTCTGAAAGAAACAAGCCAAAAGCTAAGTGTAGAAGAAGAAGGGAGATGTTAGTTTTGAGGGCAAGGTGACTGACACCTGGTGAGGGACTGCCAGTTCCTCAGGGTTGGCACGATGATACCTCTGGTTGCTGCAGTCTGATGTACACAAGAGCTTCTTCAGTGACACCTAGGGCTACTCCCTGTTGTGAATCACACAGATGGGGTTGCTAAGTAGCCTCCATATCTCTACTCTCAAGTCATTATCTGCAGCCTGACCCATAGGCACTGTGCCCTTTATGGATGAGAATGCCCTGGACCTGTGCATACCTGAGGCATTGACTCACTTAAAACAGGGTCACAGCTACAGACTGACTCCTTTTCCCTGGGCTACAATGGGTACCTGAATGCATGTGTACTTCAACTGTACACTGTAGTTCCATTCAGGCAAAGTGGCCTTCCATGACTGCAAAGGCTGTTCTCTGGCATCGTCAGAGTCCAGCAATACACACAAGACAGAAGGGCCATCAAGGTGGGTGGGCATGGACAGGTACTTCATACTAAATCACAGCTACACCAATTTGCTGTAGGCACCCAGAATATGAACCCCTTGACCACTCATAATGAAGAGTCTGACCAAGACCCCTTCAGTGTACCCTTTGCATGCACAATGGCGAGTACTAGATGCTGACAGCCATTAGGAAGATGCAATTTACTGTGTCCACCAAGAATGCCAGGTGCCCTAGATATGGTGGCCTTTAATCCAGCACTCAGGAGGCAGAGGCAGGCAGATCTCAGATCAAGTCCAGCCTGGTCTGCATAGCAAGTTCTAGGCCAGCTAGTGCTACCCCATCTCAAAGAGAGAAAGAAAAGCTGGGGGTGGTGGCACATGCCTTTAATCCCAGCACTCAGGAGGCAGAGGCAGGCAGATCTCTGTGAGTTCGAGGCCAGCCTGCTCTACATAGAGAGTTCCAGACCAGCTGGAGCTACAGGGTGACCCTTCTCAAAAAGACCAAA